TATAGCCTTAAAGTCAAAAGAGAAAAAAAAAAAAAAAGTATTTAAATTAAGAAGGTATTAATTATAAAGTGTCAAAAATTTGTAGCATGAACGTTTGAAATTGAATTGTTTTTACTTATTTGAAAAGGTCTGATATGAAACAAATATTAAATAATATGTGTATAAAACGCCATCCCAAAAAGTGGAAGGAGTTTTCCTAGTTTTAATTAGTGCATGCAACATATAATTAGTAAATCAAGCATAGACACATTAAATGTCAAATCAGTAATTTTTTTTTAAAAAAAAAACCTGCCCACAAAACTTTAAATATGCAACTTTTTGCCACATGTAGTGCATTTTCCCGTATTTCTCACATGAATTAAATCCTTAAGAGATACTTAAATTAAGACTATTTTAGCATGCTGTGCATAGAAATTAAGGTATAAATGTTTGGATCCAAATGTTAACAGAATTTATATGAATTTCTGTTAGTATCATTAATGTTAAAACACAGTTCTTTACTACATAAGGCACACAAAATTTATTTTAAATATTTTTTCTGCTGTGTTTCATGTGTTACACAGTTCAATATTCGAGTATCATTCTCTATAAATAATATGTTTTACTGCGCAACAAGCTTCTCTGGAGAAATATCTCTGTCTATAATAGTCAAAATAGAGCATATAAGTGTACAAATAGTTACTTTCAAAATTATTGATAAATATGCAGTTGAACAGAGGTAAAAATATGATACTTGACTGAAAGAAGCAATATGTATATACCTTCAAAAACCTTCAAACTACTTGCAAACTTCAAATTATGTGAAAAAAAAGAAATGTAGATGTAAACAGCAGTGATTAAAAAGTTTTAATCACCAAAATATTTTCATTCCATCAGATTTTTTATTTTGAAGAAGACACTAGGATTTTTTTTTTTTTTTTTTTTTTTTTTTTGAAGCTGAGAGACGGAAAAAACGAGCAATGCCCTCCCCGCGACTCGAACCATGGACCTCTCGAATATGTGCCGAGTGTGCTGATCATGTAGACATGCTACGAAAACAAGAGAAATACCTTATAACACATTCTGATAATAAGATCACAAATAGAAGCTAAGAATTCTTTTCTTCTGGAAAATTTAAAAAAAAATATTCATATTGCATATATACAAGCCTATACCATAAATTGTAACCATATATAAAATTCTTGGATTATCTAATGGAAAAAAAAAAAAAAGTAATAATAAATGTAAATATTTCAATAAATGAATGGATAAAAAATGGCCTTAAACAACCAATAGAGAAATTAATGCCAACAAAAACATTATTTTTGAAACAAATGTAAATACAAAAAATTGCCTAATGTATTTAATTTGAATATCTGTTTTGGAACGAAAGGTGTAAACAGCCTTAATGTGCTTAATAACTCGGATTTGTAATGCATATATTTTTATTTCCAATGGTAGACAAAAGTATATATGTATGTATACAAATACAAATACACATACACAAAAATTATCACATACTAAATAACAAACAGAGAATAAGGAAACCTATTTAGTGCCTTCCAGTAACAGCCGCAGAGATTCCTACAAAGAGAGCTATGCATTTTGCAGGTGGTGGAGGTTGTATTTTGGGCCTTTATTACACAGGATGATCACAGAAATTTCAAATAGAAAGGTTTTGCTGAATAATGACCGGTTAAAATAAAAGATTTAGTTATTATGATGGAATTAGCCTTGGGTATCGGAAATGGACATGTAGTTGAAGAATGAAAGCTTGCTTTAAAGTTACAGAGATTTCTAATAATATTTTTAAAAATATTTTAATAATATAATACTTTTCTAATATATATTTTATTATCCAAAATTCTTTTCTAATTAACAGAAAGGTACGGCGTAAGTTTCAGTGATCAATTGAAATTGAGTGATTCAGCGTTCAGAAACGCTTCTTCTGGATGGCTTAATAATAATACAAGGAAATAAGCTTATTTTACACATGCCTTATGGCATAAGGAAAGGAACTTCTGAAGTATATTAAGAACTAAAAAGATGTACATATACCATAGAAATGATTTTTAACTCTAAACAAAATTCAATACTTGCCCATAGTAAGACCAACTTGTGAAAGATTTTTTGTCAAACTGCAAATCATTGTGTAAGGAGGTAAATTTCCAAAAGCCATTTTGAAATTTTTAATAATATGAGTAATAATCATAAGATACTACTTTTTGATCAGTAACATGGGTTGTTTGATCTAAGCAAAAAACTTTAAATAACATCAGTATTAAAATGAACTAATTAATTTTAAATCATAAAATACAGTAAACCGTCTGTAACACAGACAGGCACAGCTGCTATAAATTTTTTCTATGGAAGTGGTTGTCTTAGGGAGAGCATAATTGATGCCAATGTTATTTATGTTGTTAAATTACCACTTTTGTCTTCCTGGTACTGTTCTCTGTCTATACATTTTGAATCTGAAATAAGGCATTCAGCACGGCATGCACACTGGGTGTAAGGAAAGAGAAGAAACTGGAGAGTTTGGTTAAATGATATAAAAAACCAAATCCTTAATACCACTATTGACAGAAGAGAGACCAAAATGCAAATAAGAAGCAAATTTCCTTAAAAGCTAACAATGAAGAGGGATTAAAATTAGGAATCAATGGTTAAAACCATGGGATTTTTATTGATATAAAACATCAAATGTCCAAATGAAGTGGTGTCTTCCCCCCCCCCCAGTATAATTTTTCGATGGAGTGGAGAAATGGAAAACATGATTTTTTTTAACTAGCAATCGTAGGCAATGCAGAATTTATGAATTTCTTTTCTTTGAACATAATTTTGTGTTTTTCAGTGCAAAATTTAGGACACGCATCTCTGCTGTTTGGAGGAAACTTAAAATAGAACTCCGTGAACGTAATTAAAAAAAAATAAAAATACAGATCACTAAAATAAATAAAAATTTAGATTCTTTTCTTGTGTTCTAACATATGTAATTATTACTTCAGTAGATTCTAATATTTATTTTATAATCATGCATTATTACTACTTAGGCAACAATACAGACATATATAGCATTTCACTATTTTTTACTGTCATTACATGCACAATTGCTGTTTTTTATTAACAAGAGAACTGAACAAAGCATATCAATACTTTTGCATCAGCAATATGAGTAAGTTTTTGTTTATTAAGACTTTTAAAGTTCTCAAGATGAATTAATTCGAATAATGGAAATAATTGACTGTAGCATAGAGATTTATTCGTATTACGTCCACTCTCGTATACAGCAAGAAAAAAAGAATTAAATATGAAGAACGGCCCTTATCAATTCCTTCCGCATTAAACGTAAACAAAGTCTCGAGACTTCGTAATCGATTACAAAGTGCAAAGCTATCAGCTATTCGTCATCAATGGGGAAAGGAAAGTCTGGACCATCTGAAAAAGCGGCGACCTCCTAGAAAAAGTACGTCATCGGATGACAACCATAGCGTGGTCTACCATAATAAGCTGTTTCTCCCTGTTTTGGCGTTAAGGCTGTTCTCCGAACCCTATCCCAATACTGGTATTGCAGGTCTCTGTAATATTATACATTTCATTATTATAAATAAATAGTTTATAAAAATTAAAAGTGCACCCTCATTATTCTATACCACAGAAGGATATTGACCGATAAATCAAAGATGCCCTTAGGCCGTTAGTAAATCAACGGGTGTTTTATTTAACACCACCGCCATGGAGACGAAAATAGCGATGGCCGAAGCCGCAATGGTGTCTGGAAAATGGGGAAGAAAGGATGAGAAGTTCAAACCAATTCATACGTAAAGCCGTAAATCGCATTACTAATCCAAGCAGGCTCAGGAACCTGAGGTCGAACAGCTGTATTTCATCAACGTGTGGCCTTGCTCTTAGCATGCTTCTCATGAAAGTCTGAATCATGAATTTTCGTTTCACGGCAGAAAGGTTCAGACGGTGCAAAACACATCGTGAGATTTAATACTCTTCAATGAGGAGTATCATCATTTTTAAATAAGAATCTTCTTAAAAAGTGTTAGCAACTCTGTAAATATCAAAACTTCATGTAATCATATTGTGGTGCATATAACTTAGATAAGGGTGTGCATAAAGCGAGCTTTGAAATAAGCATGGACTTTCTACAACATAGAAAGTACCCTAATACCTGGTGTATCAGGCCAGTTGGTATTCGTAAAGAATTCCTGGCTAGTTTTAATCTCTTTGTTTTTTGAAGCAGTGAATGAACAAATTTTTGTACAAACTAATATAAATTTTTTTCTTTCCTCTACAGCAAAATATGTTGCTCATTGTGTACAGTGAAATGCAGAGTTAGCAATTACTTCGAATCAGATAAACGGTAACTTACAAATCAAGAAAAATAAAACTTAACACAGTCGGTAAAAGTAGCATATATAACATGATTGCATAAAATAATAATTAAGGTTTTATCAGTCATAAGGTGAGAAATAATATTTATGCAAAATATTACATTTATTTCTCATAATGTATTCCTGAAAACCTTGTCATGCGTATATCGTACACCAAGTATTTGTCTTCTACAGTATGTTTCGCTTTTTCTTAATTCTGTGTACTTAGGCAAGATTACTAAAGTTATTGTGTAGCACCCAATAACTACTTTGCTTAAAACAAATGTGTGCAAAACATAAAAGAACATTATAAGGTGTGTAGCTACTTGTATGATAGCAAAGTAGTCAGCTCATACTTCTCTGTATAAGGAACAAATTTCATTTCTTGGATATATGTTAAATGCCATGTAGAAAAATAATTTTTTTCTCCCTACCGACCTAACAGAAAATTCTCACCTGCTCGTCGTAGGTAAAAACTCAAATAGACAAAAAACTGAATTAAATGAGTGTATGCTTATTTACATGCAGCAGAAACCTCATGTATGTGAGATATGTAAGAAAATGTTTACATTAAAGACTAAGTTAAACCAGCATATGGTTATTCACACAGAAGAGAAACCTCATGTGTGTGAGGTATGTAACAAGTCATTTGCTCAAAAAAGTAATTTAAACAAGCATGTATGTATTCACAATGAAGAGAAACCTTATGTGTGTGAGATATGTAATGTGCCATTTTCTCAAAAGAGTATTTTAAATCATCATATGCTTATTCATACCCCAGAGAAACTTCATGTGTGTGAGGTATGTAACAAATCATTTAGAAAAAAGTCAGATTTAAAAAGGCATATGCTTATTCACACAGGAGAGACTCATGCATGTGAGCTATGTAATAAGACATTTAGAGAAAAGTCTATTTTAAAAAGGCATCAACTTGTTCACACAAGAGACAAACCTCATATATGTGAAGTTTGTAACTCCTCATTTTCTAAAAAGTGTGATTTAAATCGACATACGCTTATTCATACTGGAGAAAAACCTCACGTGTGTGAAATATGTAACAAATCATTTAAACGTAAGTTAAGTTTAAAATACCATATGCTTATTCACACAGGAGAGAAACCTTATGTGTATGAGGTATATAATAACTCATTTCAAGAAAAGTGTGGTTTAAATGCACATCTGCTTGTTCACACAGGAGAAAGACCTCATGTGTGCAAGGTATGCAATAAGTCATTTGCTAAAAAGAGTGGGTTAAATTACCATATGCTTATTTATAGTGGAGAGAAACTTCATGAGTGTGAGGTATGTAACAAATCATTTAGATACAAGTGTCATTTAAACAGCCATCTTCTTATTCACAGTGGAGAGAAACCTTATGTGTGTGAAGTATGTAATAAGTCATTTAGACACAAGGGTGACCTAAACAGGCATCTTCTTATTCACACAGAAGAGAAACCACATGTGTGTGATGTATGTAATAAGTCATTTAGAGAAAAGACTGCTTTAAAGAAGCATATACTTACTCACACACGAATACTTATTCACACAGGAGAGAAACCACATATGTGTGAGATATGTGGTAAATCATTTAAATTTAAGCATAACTTAAAACGCCATATGATTGTTCATACAGGACAGAAACTTCATGTGTGTGATGTATGTGATAATTCGTTTGGAGAAAAGACTACTTTAAATAGGCATTTAAGCATTCATACAGGAGAGAAACTCCATGTATGTGAGATATGTTATAAGTCATTTGCAGACAAAAGTCAGTTAAAAACCCATCTGCGTATTCACACAGGAGAGAAACCTTATGTGTGCGAAGTATGTAATAGTTCATTTGTTCAAAAGGGTGGGTTAAATTATCATATGCGTATTCATGCACGAAAGAACACTCATATGTGTGATGTATGTAATAAGTTATTTAGAAAAAAGAGTGCTTTAAACAGGCATATGCATATTCATACAAGAGACGGATCATTTAGATAGAAGAGTTATTTAAAGAAGCAAATCCTTGTGCAAACAGGAGAGAAACTTCATGAGTCACATATGTAACAAATATCTTAATGTTGAAGAATGGAAAGGCATATATCTATGAATATAGAAGCTTATTTGCTTTTGTGGAAAAGTTACATTAATAAGAACATGTATCTGTATAGTAAAGGTTTGTTCATGCAGAAAAGAAATTTCATTATACAGTACAAAGTCTGTGATCCGGACTCGTCGGGACCTCAGCGATTCCGTATTAGGGGTTTTTCCGAATTATAGATCATCAATTTAAATCTGGTAAGATGGCATGCAAAAATTATACAATTAAAAATATGAAACCATAATTTAGAAATAAAGAGCAATTATGATCTAAAGGATATCTAATTTACAAAAAAAAAAAGCTTAATATTTTATTTGTTTACTTTATTAAACCTTTCTTTCAATGTAAGTTGTTTAAGTTGCTTCGTTTTTTGTGCTAATACTTTCTCTTTAATTGTATAAACAGGCATAATTTCTTGTTCAATTACAAAGTTCCACTCTTCAAGTCCTGTAATTCCTGTGTCGAGAATACTGACTAACTTGTCAATCGAAATGTTTTCGTTTCGTCTCTGTCACTTTCTTGGTGCTACTTTGGTAGACGGTTGCACGGATTTTGGCGAGTAATACAACTTATGGTAAACCCCATTGCTGGATAAGTTATTTATGGTAACCAATACTTTGTTGTCATTTTATTAAAAAAATAATGCATTTTATTATGCATAAGTTCCGTGTTTTAAATATTATTTATGGCTTCTAAATATTAAAAATCAGTTTAATTGTACATTTTTATTTGAAATAAAAATTTTCTTGTTTAAAATATTTTATATAATTTTATGTTTTTGATGATGTAATCAATGACGTCACCTTACTTAATAAGTAATTGGTTTTATTAATATCTATAAATTTAATCTAATGTTTTATACATTATTTATGGCTGTTAAATATTAAAATACAATTTAATTTTGCATTTGTCTTAAAAATGATTTTATTATGAATGATTATTTAAATAATTTTAATTCTATGCATGATGTAATCAGCTCCCTGATTGGTTACTGAATATTTGTGCATTACTGCGCCATTTTAAAATTTTATTATTCATCTCTTCGAATTCGTCAGATTTCAAATGCAATGGATATCTCTGTTTCGAAGATGTTGTTATTGGTAATTACCAGGATTGATTATTGGTATTGGAATAAAAAAATTGCCCTTTGAGACCTTATTTTGGCCAACCTGCCTTTCCTAATCAAAGATTTATTTATAAATTGTTAATAGCGTTAGAGGAAATTAATTTGAATTTTTGGAGGAAACCTCGCTAATTGCTTCTTCAATGAAGTGCGAGATTTGTGGATAACAGATGAAGATGGTTAAAAGAGCCGATTCAATTATGATTTCGATTTTTTTGTGATACTTATCAATAAACAAGCGGTTAAATTACTCAAAAAAATGTAAGTACATATTTTTCTTTTATTTTATAATTGTATACTTCAATTGTTGTTAAAAAAATTAATACACTATTTTCAAAAATTGCTGAGATAATTATTGTCTCACATATGTTTTAATGTTAATTATATTTTATATAACGTATTTTAAAGTATTTGAATTTAATAATATTCCAATTCTTTTAAATGTTGGTAGGATGGTTTTTTTTTTAATTCGATATTGAAATTCGGTAATATTTTAATCTAATTAAATGTTGGCTCAATGATTTTTATAGCGGTGTTTTTATTCTCTTTTTTGCTATATGAAAGTAATAGTAGCCTTACTTTAGTATTTATACTCGTAGTAGTAAATGTATTTATTTACACTTGCCTGCCATCTTAAAAAACGACATTTTTAAACAAAAGACTAATCCATTACTTTTAACGAATTTATTTTTTTATTTTTTAAAGTTTCGAATACTTTACTATGCATAAAAACAGCGTTTTTCAAGATGGCTGACGATTGTAAAAATCGCGCCAACGTAAATCACCCAAAATCCGTGCAAACATCTACCAAAGTAGCACCACTTTCTTCACTATCAAAAGCGCGCATTGGTAAACGCTTTACGTGCATGCACACATTAAACAGCCATGCGTAAACTGATTATGCACATGCCTAAGTTTGTGGCTTTGAGGTCCGGATTATAGATCATTCCGGATAATGGACATCCAGATTACAGACTTTGTACTGTATAAGTGGGGTGTAACTTGTCATTTCTTCTAAATTCTTAGTAAATCAATTTTTTTTTTTTAATAAGAGAAAAGCCTTAAGTTTGCAAGATAAGTCTTTCTGAAGTACTGCTGACTTACAACAATATTTGCATATCTTCAGTATGCAAGTAGTAATGAAAGGTTTAAAGCTGCATATTCCCACGCTATATGCTGCTTTAAACCTTACATTCAGATTGTGGTACTTACATATTATCGCAACCAGGTTGAGCTATTTGTAAGTTTGAGTAAAAAAGTATGAATAGAAAGAAAATGTACATTTATTAATTACAGATAATTTTTAATACAGTTTTTTATATTATTTTGTTTTAAAATATAAAATAGCAATTAAACCCTTCCGGTTTTCTTTCGGCGGAAATCTTTTGGCTATTGCTTTTAGCACTGATTGAAAATCGTATTCGCCATAACCATGTACACGTCGACTTATTTTTACTTAAAAAAAATCCCAGAATTGCACAAAAATGGCGTTGCGCACACTCTTGACTTTATCCATGTACACTGCTATTTTCTCATAAATTACAAAAATTTGCACGAAAATGCAGGAAAATTTTGTGAATCTCCACATGCTCTTTTTACAAAACTACGTATAACACGTAGGGTTGCCGTAAGTAGGGTCGACAAATTTGGCAATTTATGCGAATTTTGGCCTGGTTGCGTTAATACGTAAGTACCCAGATTATTTAATCAGAATCGAATAACCTTTATGGATATCGCATTCCTCTAATTGGAAAAATTTCATTTTATTTTTTTGAATGATTAAGCGTATTCACTAAATGAAAATTTCAGTCACATTGTAATACAATTTTCACAACACTTTTGTAAAAGGTACCAGGGTATGAGATATGTTTTGTGGCATCTTAAGTGCTATAGCGTGTTATTTCAGTACTCTTCTGTATGCATGTATGTATGGATGTACCATATATTCTGGCGTATAAGGCACACTTTTAATACTAAAAGTGGGGTCAAAATTTATGAATGTGTGTTATGTGCTGGATATAAAAGTATTAGATTCAAAGATAAAAAAAAAGTAACATATAGAAATTAAATTTCTTCATTCCACCTGAATACTGTTTGTTTAATGGAAATGACATACCTTATGAAGTTAAAAATTTCCATTATCTGATAGCATGAACATTTTGTGATATTTGTGTTCCAATATGTCTTCAGCCACATCATGGAATTTTGTTTCTTCTTCACCATCATGGTTTCTCTGTTCCTTAAATAATCATCCTCTTTTCATGTAGATTGTTAGACACTACACTTTTTTAATGACTTTTAAATTATATCTATATCTGGCTTAATTTCATTCCAAGCTTTTGCTATTCAGCTGTCAATAGTCAGCTAGACTAACATGACACATTTGACTTCCTTGATATAAAGGAAGTTTTAGTTGTTTGATCTTCTAGCATCCTACTGTAATTTTAAATTTTATTTGAATAGTTTATTGATGATCACATCTAAAAGCTGAACTAATAATATGTATCTATCTCCCTGGAATACGTGTATCTGTATTATTCTTTCAACAATATCCTCTTGTTTTCTGTTAGTTGGAACCCGAACATGTCCCAAATGAAAAGACTTTCTAAATTCTTTTAGGAAACAGGATGCTTTTGTAAAACATTTCTTATCCACAGTTTCACACCATTTCCATTTATCCATTCTTTTTCGTGAACATAAATGAAAATAGCAACTGGGACATAATATTTTGGCATTGCCTTTCTTTTTAAGAATAACTGTGGGTTTTAATTTTATACAATCCATTCAGCAGGAAAGCTCTAGAGCAAGGTGAGATTTTTTGTGTTGTTTTTATGTGAACCATTTTTGTTCCTTTCACATC